GTCCTAAAAGTTTGAAGCAGTTTCAAGGACCGAGGGTGGTTCCTTTTCAACATGTGGCTCTCGCCTCAGCGCCGCGCACATTCGTTTTCACATTTCGCAGCGGCCTGAAGGATTCGTATGGTTGAAGTCCAAGGAATTATGTTCTGGCACGGTTGAGGTCTGTCAGGACGTAACAGTCAAGTTGATTCGCGGTGTTGAAGTCCCGGGAAAGGTGTTCTGGCGCTATTCGGATTGTCAGGACATGACAGTCACGTTGATTCGCTGCACTGAAGTAGTATCAGGAATTGTGCGTGTTTGGCACGATTGATGATTCTCAGACGGTTGTCTTCAAATGGGCAATGGGACACTTCCAGCAATGGCAGCAAATTCCTTGTAGGTCTTATCAATGGAGATTGGAGGGATCTTGGAACTTTCGTGCGAACCTACGGACTACGGACCTCCTGAGAACCTTCGAACCTTCAAACTGCGGACCTTTGTCTCCCTGAGGCTGTGGCCTTCGTCTGGTCCTCCTCCTCCTCCTTCTCCTCGTCGTCCTCCTCCTCTTTCCTCTCCTCCTGACAGGTCCGCGGGTTCGTTGCCCTCACCTTCTTTGGGTCTTGAGTCGGACTTCCCCCATGCGTTCAGTCCTCCTGACAGGTCCACGGGCTCGTTGCCCTCCCCTTATTCGAGTCTGGATTCGGGCTTCCCCCACTGGTTCAGCCCTGCCCAGGGTGGTTTACCAATGACGACCCGTCCTTGCACCCAACTGCGAATCTGAGCCCATCTTCCTTCTCCCCCCCCTTCCTCCCTACTTCCTCCTACCCTCCTCCTGGTTCCCGACTCCTAGAGGCTACATGGTCTTCAGACGAAGCCTTACGCAGCTGTCTCCAACCCCCCCCTCCACCAGCTTCAGCGGCGGCCGCAGTGGAGCTGCGGCTCGGGGCCTAGCAGGGGACGGGTGTCGCGCGGGGTTGCTCCCTGCGCTGGCGGCACGGTGTGAAACATGCCATGGCTCGGTGGCCGTGCGCGGCCGGGGCTCGCCAGGGGCCCTGGGGTTTGGCGGTCCACCCCCTGCCTCCGCCCCGGCGGTGCTTTCCGCAAGTTCCTTTCGGGTTGAGCACCGACCCTGGTGATCATGGAGCCGTCGACTGCTGGGCAGGCCACGCAAGTGGAGGGCGGCCTCAGGACAGTCTTGCGCCGCGGTGCCTTCATCGATGTTTGCGCTGCATTCGCGCGGCGCCGTGCCTCTCAAATCAGAATAAACTTTCGGAGCGCCGATGTATTATTAAGATCACTAATCATAATAGGACTAATACCAATAATCGTCTCATGCTATCACTAATATAGGACTAATCATACTATGACTAATCATACTACTAATATTATCAATCATAACAGGACTAAGCATATTATTAATTGGCTTGCTGCCTGTGGCAGCTCGCGCGCTGGACAGTCTTGCACCGTGGCGCCTTCGTCGACTGGGAGATGGCATGCGCCGATGTGCGCCCCGGGGGGGCGGCCCTCTAAGAGCTCGGCGGGGGCGCTGGAGCGCCGGAACTCAGATGTCGTAGCACATGATCACTTTACGATCTCGAGTGTGTATTGTCGGCTCCACTGCTACAATCCTTCCAGTGAGTTTGAACATGCAGCGTCATACACCCATCACCTCGGCCACACTTTGTGCAATTTGTACATCAATTCGAAAATCTCGTCTGTCTTGCTTAGCGGGTCTCCAGTCCCATTTGTAATTTGTCGCATACACTCCGCCAGAGACAATACCGATGCATGAATTCATAGCGCTGTTCCACTTCAACAATCGATAACTTCGTACGGTTTGAATTCCAAAATGTTGCTTTGCATTCCACAATTTGCGTCCCAAAGGTATCCAACACCAGATCTATGTAACTTATTTCGTTCTTCGTATCGATGAACAAACCGATTTGTGTCTGAATACTCGAGACTCGACCGTCAATTGTGGCCTCCGCTTCCTTGATCGTTTCATCTTCACTAGATACGTGACTCGCCTCACAAGAAGGGGCCCTTTTTCGACCCATTTCACCACTGCTGGCATTATCACGAGCGCTTGGCATGATAGCTGTGTACTCTGTGATCAATTCCACACGTACAACTTTGGGAACTTCGACAACCTTCTCGACGTACTCAAATTTAGGTACCTCAACATACCAAGTTGTCCCTTCCATTGCTGCGATAGGTTCCATTGGGACAGGGTGCCGACAAAATTGATCGGCCTGCACTTCTGCGCGCAAAGTGTGGGACTCGCGATTTCACCCAGCCGGCGGATTATATCCAACTGCTCATTCGATATCGAGCCAAGCTTTTCTACGATCACTTCTGCGAGCTTTCTGCGTTCCCGTCGCGGGTCCGGTCTGTATTGCCCTCGCCTTTCCAACACACGCACACACATTTTTGCTGCTCGACGTTTCAGTCCATTGCTTTTTGGCCCACTCCATGGCGCAGGTGCAACGAATGAAAGGGATGCTTGTTGCCTGCTTCGGGCTCGAGCCTCGCTCGACTTGGAGATGATGATGATGATGATGATGATGATGATGATGATGATGATGATGATGATGATGATGATGATGATGATGATGATGATGATGATGATGATGATGATGATGAAAATTACAGGGGGCACAGCGGAGGCCCGCGACCGAAATCCCTCGCTGGGCAGGCCGCGCAAGCAGAAGACCAGAGGGGGACGGGGGTCTCTCCGCCCTTCGTCGGTTCGCGACGACCGGGCGCGGCAGAGGTGCTGCCGAGGCACGCGCATCCCTCCGCCTCCGCCCGCGAGCACCCTCCCCATCCCGTGCGCGCGAAGCAGCTGGGAGGCGCCAGCTCCATAGTCGGTTACGCACATCCCTCCACCTCCGCCCACGAGCACCCTCCCCGTCCCATGCGCGCGAAGCAGCCGAGAGGCGCCAGCTCCATGGTCGGTCCCGGTTGCCGCGCGCCTCTGGGCCGACCACCACCACTCCGCAGGGGCCTGGAGGCGGAGCGAACCGAGGAACAGGGCTACACTGGTCCGCTGCGCGTCCCGGGCGCAGCTGCGCTGGAACATTCGTCGGGCCATCAGCGTGCTCGGTCCGCAACGGGCAGCAACGGAAGCAACAGAGCGATCGCCATGCTTGCCATCTCCCCCACCCCACAACCAATCCTCACCAACCATCCAAACCCAACGTCTCTTGAAACAAAGCTGATGGCAGAAGGAAGTGGCCTCCCATGCATCGTTGCGGGCGCAGCTGCGCTGGGACGTTGAACAGAAGATCGGCGTGCTCGGTCCGCAACTGTTAAGAAGACCCTCCTCCTGCTCCTCCTCCTCCTCCTCCTCCTCCTCGCTTCGCCTTCTCTTTTCATGGGCGTAGCAGCCGTCGTCTTGCTGCAGAACTGTTGCAGGGGGGATCGCTTGAACAGCGGTGGGGTGCGATTGACCCGCGCACTTTTGGCACGAGGGTGAGACGGCTTGACGGGCTGACGGGGCCCAGTTGAGCCCGAGTGGCCTCGCCACCACGCCGCGAAAGGGCACCGAGCTCTGGAGGTGCTCGGCCAGATTGCGAGCCTTCGCCTTCGGAGGGCAGATCTCGCAGGTGTACTGTTATGTGCTGTTAAGGCTTTTTGAGGTTTTCCCGTATTAAAGCATACGCGGCAACCTTGAGGTGGTCTTTCATTAAGGGAACGAAAAATGACATACATATAAAAACTCAGAGGTCCGCACGGATTTCTTTGGTCCGCGCTGGACCCCCCTCCCTGGCGCGCGGAGCGCGCCAGGGGCGGCGCTGGAGGCGCCGCCAGGGGACCCCAGCGTCGATCTGAGAAATCCGCGTGGACCTCAGAGTTTTTATGTTT